ACAACTCATACTACTGACCTTTCCAATGCCCCAGGTGAAGCTAGCACCTGTTGAACTTTCTTTGTACCAGCAAGATGAATTGCAGCTGATGGACACTTGATAGCTCTGGATCTTTCCATCATCAGACGAGTGTTCCAGTCCTGTGTAGGGAAAAAATCAGATGTCAAATAGATGTTAAACATAGGGTTTAGATATGTGATAAAAAACATGAGACCTCAAGCCAACCACTGAAAAGCTCCTTAAACCCTAACACCATTTGGAGAGACTGCATCAAGTAATTTATTTCAATGGTTTAAAATAAATTTCAGCAGAGATGACATGAATGAGGAAATACATCAAATGGTTGATAGTTTGATAAGCATCAACTTCACAGAGCTATAATGTTATGGAATGTACTGAGGAAAGTAAAGGTTATTGGGGTTAGGGTAAGAGGAAATTTGAACTGCTAAGTGGTTGAGAGCAATGTTGCTAATGTGTAAGAAAGCATTTTTAAGGTGAACACATCCAACTTCCCTATATGGGACTGTGTAAGTTGCTGGTGATTGCAGAAGACTTGGGCTATCATTAAGGCTATGCAATAGGTTTTGCAAGTGGCATATATAAAAAGGAGACAATGAAAGTTTCCCAATAAAAGATGATAACTTTTTCAAGGTGAGCTCATAATAACTTCTCCTCCTGAGATCTCATGATCAATTCTCCTTACCATCTGCCACATATTTCTCATAATTCTAGCCCTGAGGAATTAGATTTTAAATCAAACAATAACTTTTCCATGGTATTTCTTTTTTTTTGTAATCACTCCTCTGTTTAAAAATGTAATGACAATAAAATATTCCTTTTTAGTCACAACTAAAGGAGAAAAAATTGACATTTTTACAAACCACTTCTGATTGATAATTATCTGGATCATATCCAGCCCTGAAATAAACAACAGCGACTTCATATCCATCCCTGTAAACAAACACAAAGAGCTTGTTATCAAAACCAAAGTCCTCTGTCCATGGTGACTCTTCAGAAATAAGTCTAAGATGGAACATTTGTACAAGTACTGCTAACCTACAATAATGAGCAATATTGTGTTGAAAGTGAAAGAGATACAACAACAAGAAGGGAAAATTCAGAATAACATAAACAAACAATTCAGGTAGAAGACAAAGTGCTTACACAATCAGCGATTTATCATCCTTTAGTTCCCCTGTTTGGCCAATGTCGCTGAAGGTTTTTCTTATCATACGTGCAGATGGGTGGCTAAAATGTAATCACAAATAATACCAAATATGGATGTGAACAACTTGAAACAAATTTTGTTTGGTAGATATAAGAGAACCTTTTTCTTTTTTTTCCAATGGCTACAAACACTGACAAAAAGTTTTTGTGAGTTCAGAGGAACAATTAATCAAAAGTAATTTCAAAAAGTAGTTCAAAAAGCTTTATGGAAGCATCTTTGGAAATCCAACAGGATCTTCACAATTGCCAGACAGCTTTATTTACAAAAATAGCTGCATTAGTCATACAAAGCTACAAAGACCAACATTTAAAACCACAATAACAAGATAAAATGTTATAGGTGAAGTTTTATATACACTTACATTTCTCTCATAAGGTGCTGTATCCATCTCTGATCAAATCTGTTTTTCTCATTTTCACTAACAACCATCATCACGACTGCCCTAATATGAGTTAAAAAACTAAAAATGTAAAACTTATCCATGCCTTTGACTGAATGCCCCAAGAAATAAACTTGGAAGTTAAAAAATATTGGCTTGTAAGTCTTAGAGTTAACCCTTGATTCTGTGATATAAAGTAGCTAGAAGCCTCATTACCTCTACCCTAAAGAGAGGCAAATTCCTTGTATATGCTCTCCCTCCCTTCATTTCCTCAAGTTCACTGGTACTCTTTTATAATTCAGGGGGAGATAAGCACTGTGAGGGTGGAGAGTCTGGCCTAATAATGCAACACAGTGACTGGACTTCAGCAAGCCAACTACTGATAATTTGTTCCCCATTGGCTGACTTGGTTCAAAAACAATTGTTTTCTTATCTGCTCTGAACACATGCTTACTTTTCACTCCCATAGAGTTTCCAGGCATCCACAAATCCTTCAGCCACACCAATAGCAGAGGTATTTTCAGGAAGCTAGAGAAAGAAAATGAAAAATAAGTACATCAGTGTAGGCTTCATAAAAAAGTTCACCACAGAACCTATATGATAAGATCAATGGCACATCCAAAGCCTTCTCAATAGGATGAGAAGCCTGTGTTTGCTTAACTTATTTATTGGTCAGTAGGCCATTATGACCAATAAATAAACCATGAAGGGCAAAGCAAGTCATACATCCTATTAAGAAGTATTAAGTAGGCAATGATCAATTGCCACAAGCTGCTTTCTATTGAACTCAACAAAAAGAAGCATAGATGCAAAATTTTCCACAAGCAATGAACTATGTAAAAAGATAAATTTGCAAATCTTTAGTTTATGAATTAACTTTTTACACCTTATCATCAATATGAATATTCTCCATACTGTTCTCTATACATTTCCTGAGGTACTAACAAGGAGAATTTGTTTAACAATAAAGAGCTTCACTAGTTGGTGATCACTTTCTTTATTCTTATGACATGAATGTGTGATTCAGGGCTGATATTGAAAGAAGAAATAAGATACTAGTCACTCTTAGGGATCAAAGGGTTAGACAGAAATTTGAAAAAAAAAACACAAGCTACAATGGTCACAAAATCTATAAAACTGTACCCTTTCTTTGTTACTTGGTTCCAGACCATTCTGAAGATCTAAAATAAAACTGGAAAATAAATTCAGAAATAATAAACATATCAATATCGCAAAGGAGGTTATTGCTCATTGTGGTGGTAGGTAATAATAAACTTCATTACAACTCAGTAGACAAAACCAAGTTATATATTACTGTTGTGATTAAGTTTTGACATGTAAACCTAAATGTGAAGGGCCATGAATGCAGATGGAAGCCTTGCATTCTTTCAGTAAAAAATTTAAAATCAGTTGAAATAATAATAATTTTCTTTTACTAACATAAACATAGTTCAGGTAATCTTACTTGTGAAGCCCTGGCATCTGTGCACTAAGTCCACCAAATGAAGAAGCAATTGTGTTGATTTCAACCTGCTTAATGGTAAGATTTTCTGACCATCCATTGGTACCATCCAGCATGTAGTCGGATCGAAATATCCCCAATGAGATTGGCTGTGAAGTAACCATAGAAGATAGAGCTATAGGTATCAGTTGTTAAAAAGAGGGAAATCAAATCCTCCCCCCAGCAAATTTTTCCAAAAAATTGTGCCAAATTGCATCAGAACACTCTAAAAGTTTCACAATTTTATTTGTAAACATGTCCCCTAGACCACCCCTCCCCCATTCTTTAACCAATTTAAGTATAACACAGTTGGTGCCAATTGATCGCCCCTCTCACTTTAAAATTTGTTCCCACAGACCTGTCAGAAAGTTATTCCAAGAGTTAAAATCTCAAATCACTTTGTTAGCAAAACTAAATACAAAAGGAAACATTTACTGATTTTTATACTCCAAATTTTAAATCAGTACATCTTTGGTGACTATTCTAGATTGAAACAGTACCTATTTCAATTTAAACCCCAGAACCAAAAAGCTTTGCCAGAGATATTTATCAATGACCATACAATGCACGCTCTGTATTAACTATGAATAAAATATTTGCCTAACAATCTTTTAAAATTGAATTAAGAAAGTGAATGTATTGCAAGGAAATGTCTAAGTAGGGGACAATTTACCTGTACAAGTCCCTCCTTCCTTGTCTTTTCATATATTTCATATATTTTGGCTGTGAATGCATCAACTTCAATGGTGCTTGAGACAAAAAATGGATATATTTTTTTAAAAAATTTCCCCTAATTATGCAAAATATCGGAGGCCCAATAGAGTTTTCCCAACAAGATACATAGTTTGTGGTTCAGCATATATTTCTTAGTTCAGACATCATAATTCATCTAGACAGACTAATTTACAACTTACATTTCCTCAGAGTATAACAAGGGACACATGGGGACAGGATTTAAATTTGCTTAAGAACTCTAAACCAAGAAAAAAAATTTAATCACGATAGGATATGCAGCTCATATTTCTTTAAGTTTTGCAGAGAAACAAACAAGCAGAGTCTTTATGTATTGAATAAATTTTACGAGCTATCTCATAATTTTTAACCCACACCTTTAAAGCTGGAGAGATTTAGTTGTTTTCAAAAGGATCATGCAGCTGCTTATATTTACTTGAAACAGAAGCTTACCTTTGAAGAGCTCCCTTAAGGAATTCGTGATCTTGACTTACTCTGTGAACCAGCAAGTTGAAATCTTTCTGCACCTCTTTCGCTTGCGCAAACAATCGCTTCGGAAACGGTGTTGGAAGAAGAGTAAAGGGGGCATGATGGACTGCATGGTAAGAATCCTTCGCTCCCATTACGATGCCATGAGTTACACAGTAATCCTTCCCTTCTTCGGCCAAATAACTCACAAGCTCTTCAGGGGGGAGTCGTTGTGCCGCCATTTAAAGAAAATAACTTGTTTGCCTGAGCTGGAAACTTATTTGTAAGATGTGAAGCACCAAGTCATATATAATTTGTAATTTATATGAGATAGGTGTTATTCTTAAGGAATCCGAGGATCTTTATTTGGCAATGACTTAACACTTTTCTACGCCAATTGCTCATACCACCTGTCCACCATTTTGCCTGAGCGGCATAAACAACCCTAATACCCTAACCCCAAACCCCCGCATTCGCTAGGCGTGGTCGCTCAATAGTAAAATATCAGAATTCCCCTGAGTTTAAAAAAAAAGAGAAATAACGATCAAGCGCTTTTCCTTAGGAAGCTTTTTCCAAATTCTTTTAATAATCGTGCAGGAATTTCATTCTATTGCTTGCTGACAAGTATCGTTAGATCTATCACGCCATGTAACGGGCGTGGGCTGTCAATTTACTGGTTTTTCATGAACCCTGTTATCTTGTGTGGATCAACATGTTAAAATAGAAAACAAAGACAAAAATGGACAGAAAAAAAATTTGAAAATTTGAATTGGGAAAAGAATTCACAAAGTTCAAGAATTTTTACAAAGATAATCAAACTTTAAGAAAAAGCCGCACTGTTGTATTAAAATGTACGGCTGAGAGTTGGGAGGGGCTTAAAGGGCAGAGCCTTTTTCCTTTTTCGATGGTGCACCAAGTGAATAAACCTGTTAAGCTTGGCTCTCAACCGAGCCACCTGTTTCCGAAGATTACGTATCTTCAGGGTGGGACTAAGTTTTGGGAAGATCGTTTTGTGCCCGTAAGCCTTCAGTAACATTCGGCTAACGGGCTGCACCTTGTATCTAAATTTACGTTGCGATCCTCTTTCGAGACCCCTTCCTTTGTTCGTTGTCCCAAGTCTTAATTTTAGTTTTTTCCTTTTTTCATGTTTAAATGAAGAGAGCGAAGGCAAATAATTATTCCGAGTTCTATGACGGTGAACTTTAATCCTTGATCGGGAAACTCTCCATTGTGTTGTCTCTCTCAAATCGTGGTTAATTTGGATTCTATGGTTTCTTAAAGGATCATTTCGTTTCAAAAATGTATCATTTCCTCCAAAACCTTGAAATATTGTCGATGATTTCCCGAGCTGACTATCTTGGCTATGTTTTTCATTTGATGAAATCTTCCCTTGTGAAGCCATATTAGCGTTTGAAGCCGTGATATTTGTTGCTGAAGCAGTGCTGATGATTTTAGTTGTGTTCTTTCTTTCTCCCCATTTAAAGAGACGGTGTTTCAGTATATGAGAAAGAACATCTGACAGGGTGTGAAACCCTTTACCATACCCTGGTCCGTCAATCATGTCTTGCCTTGGAATGGGTTTCGTCTGACGCTGTTGATTAGCTGTATCCCAATGAGTGACCATGTCAGGGAATGGAATAAGTGATGCTTTTCTTATCTTTGAGACTGAAGTTTCCCCTAAGTACAGACATAAAGGAAGACGAACGATTTCAAATTTCAGAGCGCGCTTTCATGGCTTATGGGTAAAATCAAACCAGGCGTTAGGTAAAATTATTACAAGGGAAGGTCAAATCATCTCAGCTAAGATTATCGATCAAGAAATAAAAGCAAATTTCTAACAGGCGTGTCAAGAAAATAAGGAAATGTTTTTTAACTTTTTATCATTTTTTTTTAACAGTGCTCGATAGAGAGGCTTGTTAGACTTAGTGGAGACGAAATCTTTTAGTAATTTATCTGGCAAAGGAAAAAGGAGGGTCTCGGAAACCTGTCACAGCGACAAGAGTATTTCAACTGAAATTATTTCGCCTACGCTAGCGATTAGCAGGCATCGGCACGACTTCAGCTCCAGACCCAAGGGTAGCTGTTGAAGGTGAATATGAAAACCTTAAATAAATTTGAACCTCCCATACTTTTTAAGTCATCAAAATAAATAGCACGATACCCAATTAACAATTACCCCAGACCTTCACTTACCCTTGAACTTATTATTCAGCCATTTGACAGCTTGAAAAGCTCCGCCTCCTGAGCCTGCAGTGTAATAATTGACCGCTATAAAATTTGCCCAATAACCAAATTTGTCATGGCAAGTCTTTAACTTCTCTCTTATCTCCTCGAAAGAATTAAGACATGGCTGAAGAGGATTGGCCAGGGTATTAAACCAATTTACCAACACCAGGCTCCAGTGGTCATTCCAGTCAGCGTTCCACCGAGACTCTCCGCGGTCTACACATTCCTTTAAGGAGCAAACAGAGATCAGCGAAAAACGAGGTCTTCGAAAAAGAGAAATTAAGATCTGAGAAAGTTCAGCCGAAACACAATTTCCTGCACGAGATTTTATGGCACGTTGAAATAGAAAAGATTTCATTTGTTGTGCTTAACTTACAAACCCATTGTGACAACGAGTAAGACGAAAGGGACAAAAGGTTACTAAAAAAAGGGACCAAATTACCAAACCTTCCAACAGTCAAGAGGTGTCAAGCAGAACTTAGGAGTCCACTCTCTACAGTAACTGTACATTTTAAGAGAAATTTGTATCTTCGCTAGGGGTGGGAGACACGGTGGCCCTAGTGCACTACTGACTCCGGGTAACCCTAACCCTAAACCCTATGATGATTCATTGTCCAGAGGTCCGGGTCTCATAGTACCTCTCTTTACCCAGGAGTATAAATGGGTACCGGCAAATTGTCCGGGAAACTTGATGAAATGCTGGGGGGTAACCTTGCAATGAACTAACATCCCGTCTAGGAAAGAGTGCTAATACTCTGAGTCGCTTCTTGCTATTGAAACCGGGGTAAACTCAGCCAGGGTGAGCCATTTGACTCGTGTACAGATTTTTCCCTTGCATATTTAGTGAATTGTTAGTTTGGTATAAAACTTTCACGCGAGAACATACCCTCTTTTTTCTACTTGGGGTTCCATAGCGGTTCTCTCTAACATATCTCCACATGTTGAACTCAGTATAAGGGAATCCGTGAAGGCCATTATTGTTGAACACAACCAGTCTACCTAGTCTGCGCATGTCGTTTAGAGTGGGCCAATCGGTGAACCCGTCACCCCAATAGTCCTTCAGTAGCACGTACGGAGAAATTCCTGCCTGGTCAAAAACGTTTTTCAAGATCGTGGGGTTTTTTAAGTAATCCTCAAAGATAATTGTAATGACCACTCGGATGTCACTCTCCAGGAATTTTCTGATTTCAACCAGTGTGCTTAACAAGTCTGTTGAACCACTCCAGAAACAAGACGAGTGGCAAAGACGAACCTCCGCCGCGCCCCACCCTAAAGAGGAAAGTAACGAAGAAGAACAACAAGAACACTCAAGCTTAGATTTTACGGGATATTTTCCCGTGTCTGTGATTGTCTTAGCTACCTCATCGTTCTTTTCCCTATGTGTCTAACAAAGAAAACATCAAAGAAGAAAAACAAAACAAGGTGTGAGGTGATTTTACCTGGATATATGTCTAACATGAAACCACGCACACCATCCTTTAACTGCTGACTGACGCTAAAACGTTGATTGCGTGCCCATACAGCAAAATTTGGAGAATGCGAAAAAGAGTTATGGGTAACAAGGAATGCCACTTTGTTAAAGGGTCTGCCATAGTCCTAGGGAACACATGCAATCGATAAATACATATTTTGGATCTATGTAATATTTTCCTTGGTCCAGTCTTTACGATTTCTCTTTGTAATTCAAATTCTCGAAAACCAGCTGCCTTGAAGCTCATTACCTTATCATCGATGTACTTTTTTCAAACATATGATTGTTATGCAAATCATATAAGTTTAATTCTGTATATGAATACCCAGTACCTGCTCTGTCAAAGAGGGTACGCGTGACAGCTGACAAGTAGCATATGGCTTGTCGCACAGTCTACAGTCCAGACCATCAGCGCATGTGTATCCTGCTGAACATCTCTCATTTTCCAGCCTCGGGTGATGCAAGCATCTCTGATAACCTGGTTGGCAGCTGAGTCCCGGGGCACAGGGATATCCCGCAGAACAAGGCTCCTCGTATTGGCGAGGATGGTGAAAACAGGCCTGAAAAATTATTTCATCTCATAAATTAGATTCAAATTGAAAGAATTGAACCTGCCAGTTCTACCTTGTAGTAAGGTACTGTTTGGTTTAACCAACCTGAACTCCTGGCTCACAAGAAAGCCCGCTGCCACATGCATAACCCATTACACACGGTTCACCATGACGACGAGGCACGTGGAAGCATTTCTGAACCCCCGGATGACAACTGAGCCCAGTCGCGCATGGTCTCGTCGCATGACAGCGGTCTCTGTACCTTCCAGGTGGCGCGCATTTCTGTATTCCCGCCTCGCAAGTGTTTGAAGGATGGCAACGACAGAAAGCTGAGCAAACATCACCGGCGTGTCCAAGACCGTTACCATGGGGACAAGAGAAGAACCAAAAACCATCGATGCGCGAACAACAGGTGGCAATTAGAATCATTGAAACAAAAACCCAGAAACGGGACAAAAACATTTACACGGGACTGTCAGCAAAATATTTTTCCAGATAAAGATAGGCATCAAAACAGATGTAAAGACACTACACAAAGCTAATTCGTGCGCCACCAGCAGACTTCTTTACCCTTCATATCACCATCTTATTGGTGTTATCTGACCTGCAGTTTGTCAAGATTTGAGTGGAAACCGTCAAATATTAGTCCAGTATCCACAAACATAACGTGTTTCCTGAAGCACCTGACACAGTCTTACAGTCGCACACCCGTGCATGAAACATTTTAGTGATGGCGGTAACGACCTGCGGTCATACCGGAAATCTTAACACTCCGGTTATCTGCCGGCGTTGTTTAACTTTCTGTCAGGTTGTGTGATGTAATCACTGCCTTTTTTAGGCAAGAATTTTTATGACCAAACTATTGAAATTTACTTATACCTAAATTAAGAACGTTAGATTACAGGCATTAATATCTTCTTTCTTACATTTAATTTCAGTATTTGATGGATATGATTCAATTTTATTCCAAACGCTGGAGGTAACTGGATTCTGGTCTTATAAGGGCTGTTAGCGCGTCGGCTAACAGGTTAGCCGACAAAATTGACTTTCTTTTAAATGTGATCGAAACCCTGATGACACATCTTAACTAATAGTAATATAACATACGTGTAAACATTTTATTGCACATTCGCCCACTTTTCATACATTTATACTAAAATCTACTCTCTTTTGTCTCGTTATCAGTTACAGAAATCTAGGTTTTTAAGGGCAGTTTAACTTCCCTATTTTCAATGGAAAAATTAGTTATTTACAATTACATCCGCTTATTACGTCATACTACTTTTCTCGTACATCATGGTGCTGCTGAAATCTAAAAGACTACAGAAATCACACCAAATACCATTTGGGTCTGCAGTTAAATACCTTCCAAGTTAACGAAGTTAAATACCGAGTTTGCTATAAATAGCTTTGTAAAATACGCTCCTTATAATTACTGTGTTGAATAAATACGGAAATCGATAAATCGATTGAGCGGGTAATTGTGCAGAATTATGAGTTAAATAGTTTGCCAAAAAAAAATCTACCAAACTAACCAGACCGAATCATCTCAGTCTCCTCTATTTAAAAAGCCAGTTCAAATTGTTTAACGTACATTGACGAAGCATAAACATTCTCAACATATACTATACGTACAGTACCAAACGATGAAATACAAAACTCTCCTAGCTTAAAACAGGAATGGATAATTGCAAGTTGCACCTGAAAAACATTTTTTTCACCAAATGCCAGGGTACATCATCTACCTCGGAAAGCATCTGCATTAAGAAATGGGGGAGGGAAGGTGGCGTAAAAAGAGCCTTCTGCTACCAGAAAGCACCCACCCCTCCCACTTGTGCTCCATTTCTCACAGTCCCACCGCTTGTTGCCCGTGCAACAACTGTGGCATCTCCCTTCAAAGTTGGTAACACATTCGTTTTGGAGACTCTTTTCTTGAGAAGCTTTTCGTGTTCATCCTTCAGTGCATTGTAATCCCGTTTAAGATGGACAAAGTCAACAAATGTGTGTTTCTCCGGTGTTTGTGACTTCATAGCTGCTATTTCATTGAGAAGTCCTGTAATCCTGTTTTTAAGCAAGTCTCTTTCTTTGTACATGTGCTTCAAGGTCTGAGCAGAATCCTGAATATTGAACTCCAAAAGTTTGTTGCCGTTTTCTAGTTTTTCGTTAGCTTCTGTAAGGGCTTCATTTTTACTCTCTAGTTTCTGAATAAGTCCTTTCAACTTAGCTATTTCAGCCTCATCCTGTTCTTTTAGCTTATTAGTTTCCATGGCTTTACCCTGCTCCTCAGCTTTAGCTTCTCGTGAAAGTTTTGTCTGCATTTCCAGAACAGCTATCCTAGATTTCAAACTGTCCACCTCTGATGAGAGAGTTTCATTTTTCATACTCAAATCATTTACTGTCTTCTCTAGGACCCCTTTTTCTTGTTTCAACTGTTCACAGTTTTGTTTCAGTAACTCAATGGCTGCCTTTGATTCTTGAAGAGCTGAATTCAGTTTCTACAAAAATTAAAACCAAAACACTCCTTAAAACAATTCCTTAATTACTTAATAAACACCAAAGTGTGACTTAATGCAGAAAAGTTTACAAATGAAAAAAAACCACTATTGTTACTTACAACAGTATCACATCCTGTTCTTTTTAAAATCTCCAGTTCTTCTTTCAGAAACTTGTTTTCTTTCTGAAGATCTTCAATTTTCTTGGTAACCTTTAATTTAATAAAAACCTTTATTTTAAAATTGAATAATTGTATAATTAACCTAACTGGCTTAACCCTTTACCTCCCATGAGTGACTGAGAATTTCTCCTTACAATATCAATACAAAAGCAAGCATAGAAGAGATGAGAATAAAATATAATATCAATTAGGGGATTATTAGTTGATCCAGTACCAAATTCTCCAAATTGACATCATAAGAATTGTATGGCAGACAGAAAGGAGAATTACTAATGAGATCTTGGGAGTTAAAGGGTTAATGTGTTCCAATATGGTTCCATATCTTTCAACCACGGCCTTGTTGAGGAAAACAGTAATTTTTAATTTCATCCTCACAAGAGGCTTCTGCTTTGTTCCATAAACTAATCAAAGGCAGTGTTTATACACCATCACACCTTCTATGCCCCCTGAAAATCTAAAGATTAGCTACTGAAAATGGGATGTTACCTTCAAAGAAGGCATTCAAGTGGTTAATGACTGGAGCAATAATTAGTATTGATTAGAACAAGACATAATTATCAAAGAACCACTCAGTTGCTCAACATACCTGTTGCTTCTCAATTGTCCAGCAATTTTCAGCTTCAAGTTTTTCTGACACAATTCTCATGATCTGAAGAGAAAATGACCATCATTTCCTTTATTTTGTTTTAAAAGTATCTCAGTGGGCTGGAATTTTAAATCATCAAATCTGATTGGCTACTTGCGTGCTAGTAACCAGTGCAGCTTTTGAAAATATCAACCATAGTTCAGAAACTTTACAAAAATAAGTAAGTTATTTACCACCCTTTGTTGGTCCATATAGAAAAATTCTGGAATTGATCTCAAGTACAGCCCTTTGCCTTCAGCCTTGGGCGGTACTGAAGACCTCTGACACATTTTCCCCCAAACAGACCTTCTGCCCAGTAAATACCAGTAATGTAGATATATCTACTTACATTACCTTCATGCTAATAGTTCACAAACCAAGGTCTTAAGTGCTACATTCCAAAGTTGAGGACGAAAGTTTTTTTTTTAGCCTGAGAAACCTAGTTTTGCTACCTCAATCAAAGATGACAAGCTGGCATGGTAAATTTGGCTACCCACACTGTCAACTCAAATTATCAAGAAATCTTTTCATTCTAATCATAACTCAATAAAAATTGATAATTTAAATGCAGGACCTTAAAAGATAGGGTTCAACGATGCACAATTTTTCAGGTCTTCACAGCAAACACTTGTCACAGCTATGTAGCTCACTTTTATATAATTTCTTAAACATCTTTGTACTTTGTAATCAAAGATTTAATTACATTCTACAGGTATATTGTTGCATGTAATTACCCACCTCTACTTTGTGTTTTTCTGTCAAAGCTGCACAGTTTTCATCAATCTTCATCAAACAGTCTCTTTGCATTTGCTGGAACTTATCCTTTGCTTCCTTAGCAATCTGATGAAGCTCTTCACACTTCAATAATTCACCCTGCAGAACATTTGACAAAGTAATGACAAAAAAATACTAATATAGGAAATTTCATCTAACTCTCTATCCCCATAAAGTTCACAAGAATAAAGAAGATTCCATTGAAACATTATTGTATCATGGATGTGAGTGATGGATGATAGGTACCTTACTTTCAGAAAGAAATATGCTGTAATGATATGAAAATGTTCTTTTGCTGGAATTTCAACTTTTTTTTTGATTTAACTGCAACTGATCACTAAATTAAGAAGACTACAACAGCGAAAGTCATTTTGGATGTGACATAATTTGTGCTAGACTTTCAACAACTCTCTAGTATTTAATTAAGTCTTCTTGACAGTTCAACAGTTTGTGTACATTGGTAAACTGTTCAGTGTAAACATGGTCTTTACTGCTGTCATTCATAAAATGGGTCATAAATCTCTTAAAAACAATAACTTACTGAAAACCAACATGATTGCTACAACTGCTATGGCAAATGAAAAATGCTAATGAGAAATAAAATGAGAACCAGCCCCCATGATTAGTTTCAAATTATGACCACATCTCACACTGATGGAAGTGATGGTCTAGATTTTGGGAGACAAAGGATTTAGTTGCACAACAGATAGTGTTTCATGAGTGATATATCTTAGTGAATATCTTTGTGAGGTGAAGGCAGCTGGATATTGACAAAGAACTCTCTAGTATTATCTAGAAGGACATTAGTATTTGCAGTGTTGTTCAGTTGTTCATGTGGTAATTCAGTGATCCCTAATCCTGTAGTGTGCATTCTTTGTGTAAAGAAAGCTCCAGTGTATGGCCAAACAAAAAAAATGTAATATGGTGGTTTCTTGATCAGTGAACCTGTGTTCCACAATCACTGACGCTTGACACTCTCTTCAGAACTATTTGATCAAGGGTCAAAAATTCTAAAACATCCTAAAGAGGATATGAAACAAACTGATCAATGGTTGCAAACTTTATTCAAGACTCAAAATCAACATATTGGTGAAGAGTGACTAGCACAAGTAACATGTATGCAAGCACCCATAAGGCCTAAATAATGAGTAGCAAACAGACTTTATGACCACATTCTATGCAAGAATGTAGTATAGCTTTATGATGCATCCAACTGTGTGTGAAAAACATGAGTGGGAATGAAACTTGATGCCTAGTCCACGTTCCTTTATTTTTTTGCGCAGTAATATGTTGTTTTTTAATTTCTTTGCAGCAATGTGGCAGTCAGAGCTCCTTAACGTCACTTTTATCACTATTCCCACATTTGGACTTTGAGCCAGTCTTGGTTCGTTGAATTTCAGAATTTCCAATAAGCAGACATCTTGTCTGAACAAGTATGATCGATAGAGATTAATGAGAGTAAAATTTCATTACTTACAATACCAGGTAAATTATGAAATGTTAGTCTTAAATAAAAATGGCCTTGACTGTATACTTTAATCACAGCTGATCCCCTGTGCTGTGTGCGCTATAGTTAGGTCTGTTATTGAAATTAACCTGCAGCAGAGAGAGAAACTTCACAAAGTCTTACCCGTAACTTCTCTACTTCACGCTCCAGAAGATCACATCTGGCAGCTTTTGCCTCCTCAAGCTCCAGTTCAGCAATTCTAGCTTTCAAAAGATCGTTTTCGGTGTGTAAATCTTGCAGGTGTAACAAAGTTCGTATGTGTTTGCCTGTCAATCGGCCGTCTTGGTCCACTCTGTCCTCGTAGCTTGCCCTGCGATGTGCCTTTGTTGACATCGTCAGTAAAATTTGCTGTTTCTTTCAAATCTTGACTTATATAAAAGTCATAAAGCAATGATATCATTCGACTTTCAGCTGTTTATGTTGTATTAACCGCATTATGTTGCTACTTGTTTATTCGTCGGCAAAGGAACCAGTTATTTGCATCTCTGAATTTGGGTCCCAGTTCTCTCCTCTGCGGTGTTCGCCTGGGGGAAAATATGGTGGCCGAGGATTTAGGTGCAATGTGGCCTATGATTGTGGCCATTTTAGCTGCAGTTATCTTAAACGCAGTGATTTTTACTCTATTGAAGGGATACAAAGCGCGAAAAGAGCAGAATGAGCGGAAACAGTGGTGGAAAGAGAACGTAATTTATCATATATATCCTCGATCTTTCCAAGACTCGAGTGGCGATGGAAATGGCGACTTACGGGGAATAATGAACAGGCTGGACTATTTTGAATACATGGGGATCAAAATCTTATATCTGAGCCCAATATTCAAATCTCCTATGGTGGACAATGGCTACGACATCTCAGACTTCACAGACATTGATCCTCTCTTTGGAGATTTGAATGACTTTGATGAACTCTTAAAAGCGATGCATGTAAGGGACATGAAACTTGTGCTGGATTTTGTACCTAACCACACTTCAGATGAACACCCATGGTTCCTTGAGAGTCGCGCCAGTAGAGAGAGTCCTAAAAGAGACTGGTATGTCTGGAATGACCCTTCCCCAGGGGGTGGGGTACCTAATAACTGGGTCAGTGTATTTGGAGGAAGCGCATGGAGCTACGATACCAGAACAGGACAGTATTATTTGCACCAGTTTTGTCCTGAACAACCCGATCTGAACCTCAGAAACGCTGAGGTGCGCCAGGCTTTGAAGGAAGTGCTAATCTTTTGGCTTGACAAAGGAGTTGATGGATTTAGAGTTGATGCAGTTCCTCATCTTGTTGAGGATTCAAAATTTCTTGATGAACCCACTAAGCCTGAGTATGATCCCTTACGTCCCAACTATGATCACTTGGAGCACATTTACACGAAAAACTTGTGGGATAATCATAAAATTGTTCAGGAATGGAGAACACTTCTCAATCAGTACAAGGTGCCATACAGAATACTCATAGGGGAGATAACGGCAGATCTTCCAGATGTTATGAAGTATTATGGTGGGAGATACAGTGAATTTGATTTCCCCTTTAACTTTGGGTTTTTGGGGCTTTCCAAATCCACAACTACACAAGATTTGTATAAAGTAATCTCAGATTACCTTACTGCCCTACCCAGGGGGAAGTGGCCCAACTGGTTATTAGGAAACCATGATGTATCCAGAATTGGTACCAAAGTTGGCCATGGGTACTCCCGTGCACTAAACGTCCTCCTTCTTACACTTCCTGGAACTGCTGTCACTTATTATGGGGAAGAAATTGGAATGACAGATGCTGAAGTGCCTCTTAAAACCAGCAAAGATTTCCGTGATCCTCAACGATCACCTATGCAGTGGTGCAGTAAACAAAATGCTGGTTTTACCCATGGAATGAAACCATGGCTACCTGTTGCAAAAAATTTCAAAACAGTGAATGTAGAGGATCAAATGGCAGATCCAACTTCAGCTTTACAGCTGTATCGAGAACTACTGAGGATAAGGTCTTCTTCACAATGCCTTAAAGAACTTGGTTTCAAAGTTGTTCATGTAGATAGCTCAATTCTTGCTTATACCAGGTCAGCCAAACACTGCAAATTTCTCATAATAGTAAACTTTGGGCAGGAGAGTTGGACAGGTTCACTTGATAGCATCAGTGGTTCAGGAGTGGTTGAAGTTGACAGTGAAATGAAGATGAGGGGAGCAAAAATTCTCTTTGATAACATTAAATTAAGTAAAGCTCAGGCTCTCGTTGTGAAAATACCATAACAGACTTTCTATTGAATTTGAACTTTATTGCCCTTATAAATATGTAGTTACCTGTTTTAGCACACTCTATACAGAATGTTAAATAGTACTAGAATGTATGCCGATGTTAAATCAAATAAAACTGGGTTAGAAATACCCACCCTTAGTGTATTTTGTTTAAAAACAACCTAACTACTAATTAAAAGTATTAAAATGCATGCATTGTTTTCTAAAACTTGAATGTTGTGATATGACAAATTCCTGTGAACAAGTGAGATTTACAACCCAAGAACAAAATAGGTGCTGCAGCACACATGGAAACATGTGGCCTGTGGTGGCTTGTCTCTTTATGTTCTACAGTGCCTGCTTGTAGTTCAGTTGCTTATTAATCAATATGACTTGTTCAAAGGAAGTAATGTGGCAATTGCATAGATTTCATTTTGCTTGTTGCTAGAGCACTGCTTTCTGCAAATTTTATTCTCTTGTTAAAATAGCTGTTATTTGCTGTTTTGAAATAAGATAAGGATAATTTAAAACCATAAATTTTACTGTTGTAAAAATTTGGTAAGAAATGAAATTTTGTAAATAAAAATATTAAAATACACTTCCTTGTACAGAAAACAATAGGCATATTTGAAGTAAATACTCATCTAGCTCTACGTTTTAAACATTTGGGTCATTAATGCCATTTCTGTGGAAATATTATTCCCTTCACTCAATTTGAAGCGCATGTTTGTGCTGCCTTATTGTGATATTTTGAGAACAAACAAAGCATCATCCAGAATGTAAAAATCCTTATACAAATCACCCTCACATAAATATGGAACTCTTGTAAACAGTTCCACAGTAAATCCACTTGGCTCAAACACATCAGAAACAAGACTTTGTACTTGTTCTTCCCATGAATTTCCATGAACTGTTATAACTTCACTTGGCTGAATCATCTTTGTGCCTAAAGAATAATACAGACTTCAATTTCTTTATATATAAAACAAATTTATATTCTATTTCTTTTTTTTTTCTCTTTGAAGACAGAGATAGCTTACACCTTGTACAAAAGCTGCTTATTTGCCTACACTGCAGAAACTCATCAGACTTTCATAGCACAACTTACAGAATGTAGCCTAGAGGATAGGTACCCTCTCTGGATAGGATGTTAGTGTACCACAGGTTACTATCAACATTTCAACAGAGATGACCCAAACTGCTGCAACATACTCACAGATGCCTTAACCATCATTTGATGATGGAGCATTTGAATCACCTGTTCTAAGCCTTTGGAGTACTCTTAGTAACTGCCATATGTTACTTCCATTAAAGGCCTTCCTTAATTAAATGCATGGTTATTTATTTTGAATTAGCTTCTGTAAGACAAAAAAAAAACAAAACAAAAATTATAGACTCAAGCATACCTGATTCCACAAGGGGTCTAAATGGAAGAACAACTGCAACAATCAGGCGGCCTGTTTCAGGATGTAGAGTTTCCTTAATGTCACTGAGTAGTGTGAGAGGTTTGTCACACCTATCCAACAGGTTTAGGCATGCAATCACATCAAACTTGAAATCAACCTTCATCCATTCACTTTCATCAAGTAACCTGACATTGACAGAGAGATTCGATGCCTTGCATTAAAACCCTTTCTCAGATTTTAAACTTCTCGATTTGCTTTTTAGTGACAGACAGCAAACCTGGTTATCTACAGAAAGGCTAGGAAGAAAATATCACAGCATTTATGTTTGTTACGAGATCTCATCAACTTAAAAAGGTAATCATAAAAACAAAGATATGGAAAGACATTCAGCAGAGAAGTTCAGCTGTAGGCCTTGTGTTGTGCACTTTAACATACTTTAAGATTTGGGTCTTAGGGATTCTAAAAAGAGAGAATTAACAATTAATGCTAAAGCTGTTGAGGTGGCAGGCAGTTACAAACTGTCAACTGAATCAGGAAATCCACATTCATGCTCTGATCAGATCATTGTCTTGTAATAGAGAACTTAAGCTAAGATGTTTTTGAGATGCAGATGATAGCTGGAGGAAATTAACTCTGGCTCACTTTGACACAAAAGTATCAACCACAAGGTTGTCGTTTTAGCATTTTGTGGCACATGGTGCTGATCAGAAAGGTGGAGCGAGCACTAGGAATGAAAATGGATACTTGCCAACCAGTAGGGAAACTAGACAAAGCAAAGGAGGGAAAGAGGGGGAGAAGAAGACATACTCATCCTTGATTCATGTTACAGAAACCACAGTGAGCAGCAGCAGTAATGGGTCACTTGGCCCCCCTTAAGACTTGATCTTAAAGCTGACTTACTTGAAGCCCTTGTCTTGGAGTCTCCACCTCATGGATGGAGACTGCTCTGTAGCATAAACTTCATCAAAGTGATGTTTTATAACACTTGTTACTTTGCCATCACCAGCTCCTAAGTCTAACATAGTCCCTGTCTTCCATGATCCATCTACATTCATGAGTCTTTGAAACTGGGCATCAGAAAATACAAACATTGATCCTCGATCCAAAATTCTACAAAACAGAATAACAAATAAATCTAATTGTTTGCTGAACTCAGGAAATTAAAAGTTATACATGTGAAGTAACTTTTATAGGAATGTTATTTTTTTCACAAATAATTGATTTACAGATCTTTGCATTCCAAGTTCCTGTGTTCTACTACTGAGCCTAAGAGATTCTATGGTAAGCTGGACCATTGATATGTTCATAAGTGAAAGACATCCTGCATACTGCTTGTTTCAGCAATGACAAAAACATTAAGTAAGTAAATAGAATAAGAAAGCTGGTCAATTTTGGGTTTCATCACAAAAAACAATGTTATTTCTCTTGCCATGAGCATGGAGCAAAGAAAGTGCGTGACAGTCATCTTTGGTCTACTCTTGAGACAAAATGAAATTGTGCACATAAATTATACATAATACAAATCTTTCAGACTAATTACCCATTTGCTGTAGTCACAGACATAAAGAAACCAAAGAACCCTTTGAATAGAAGATGTCCAATCTGCGTGAACACTGCATCAGCTTTCTCATGACAGTTTTGTAAGAAAGCTTCAGTTTCTTGATCCAGTGAGCTCTCTACAAACTTAGCTTGTAGCTCTTCCAACAAAGCTTCATTTTCACATTTGTACCACTGTAAGCATTACAAAATCACACAAAAAAAACCATCAATGTAAGAGTTTGTAAAATTCTTTCATTTTCATTTCTATAGACTGATTGAAAGCTAGTTACTTCTATCTAAGAGCCCTGTATCCCTAACAATCACAGAACACCATAAAGAAACTCACTGATGTTTTCTCTGTTTCCAGTTCTTGGCTGTCATTTTCAGCAAGTCTCTCTAAAAATGTTCTTCACAGAACAAGATCAATGGAAACTTTCACAACTGCTTGAATCATTTTTTCTCTGTTAATTACTTTATTATTGAAATATCAAAATTATTATTTTGTTTAAGCCCTCTTATGGATAGTTGTCAATGAAACCCATCTGTCATCAAACAGGTATTACAAGTTTTAAAGCAACTTCTGAGGTGAAAAAGTCATATTACCTAAAATGCATGCCAAGCACTTCGAAGCGATTGAGTTTGTAAGTAATCAGGTTCGTCTTCGAAAGCTTAGTAGTGGGTGAGTAACGAGATCTATATAATCATTTGAAATAATGCGGACGAAATTTGTAATACTCCAACCTGACACAATATATTGTTTTGTGCGCCTTCTTCTTAGAAAAACTAAGACCCCAACAGAAATAAAAGGCTTGGTTACAAAGCGCTGAAGAGTCCGCTGACAAGAAAAGCTTACTCAATACTTTGACATTCGGACACAGTCGACACTGGGCGTTAGCGAAGTATATTATATTGCCATGGATTGATTTCACAGGAAGTCACGCTTTTTGAGGTGGTTTTCGGTCTTACACAACAGCGAAGTGTACTGATCGTCCTTATTTTCACAGATTATCGACTGACCTTACGAGTTGGGTTAGGTCGGTCGAAAAATGGTGTTCAAATATGGGCAAAAGTGCACAGAACAAATTCAGTCGAGCGCGCAAAAGTGTCTTGGCGAAACAACAAAGTTTGACCAAGTTGTTAGCAAACGAACACAACCCAGATGCTATCAGATCTCTGGTACAGCTCTAATCTTCCTAATCATTGGACTAGTCTTGGTTATTTTGTGTCGCCGATACATCAAAGACGTTTTGGAAGCGCTACAGAATTTGGATGAATGGCAAGGGATTCTGTTGTTTGTAATCATGTTTACGGTTGTTTCTTTCCCAATGACATGGGGTTACATCTTTCTTAACGTAGCAGCGGGTTATTTGTATGGATTTGTGCTTGGATTTATCGTCGTTATATTTTCCGTACTGTGTGGTTTATCCATTGCATTCATTGTTTGTAGACGATATTTACGAGATTTCGTACGCTCAAAATTGGAGTCGGATAGTTTAAAAGCTATTATGCGTGTTGTGGAGGGCAAACGTGGTATCAAAGTCATTGCATTAACTCGGCTTACACCGGTACCCTTTGGACTGCAAAATGGATTGTTTTCGGTAAGTAATCAGCAGTATTTTTGCTATCACATGATCAATCGTAAGGTTGTCTTTCTCCTTGTATCCGTTGGTGATTGTGAGTAAACACCTTTTTCGACTCGAGAGCTTTCTCAACTTTCTGTGGCGTCCATCTGCTTCTTATGTTAATGTCTCTGTATAAACTATTCAAACACTACTCCTTACTCATGTAGGCGTTGATAACTTTTCAATGGGAGGGGTTTTGAGTAACCTTTTGCTGGCATCGTCAGGTTGTTTTACAGTTATATTTTAGTTATCGCATGTTCTTGGCATGAATTCAGAATTATGTAAAGCCGAGAGGCGTCCCTTAGCATGTCCGTTCATAGCATGATAAATACTTCTTTCTGGCAATTTCAAAGTCTTAGTCATTTGATGAAAATTATATATTTACCTCCTTTCATCACCATTAGAAATAAAGTATTGATTTTTGCATAAAGCAGATGGTAAAGACTGTAATGGTAGCTTAAAAAGTTTATAAATTGGGGATATGTCATTTAATTTTTTTCCCACCGACCTTCACTAGCTCTAAAATATGAAAAAGTTATTGAGGGCTATGTCACGTCAGTAAGGCTCTCAAGGGGGAGAAACCAGTGTAATAGATATGGACAAATGGAAGCATTTTGGTACCTCTTAAATAGAGACAGTGGCTTCTTATTAGCCCATATTTATGACACTGTTTTGGCCCTCTTGAAACCCTAATACACTGTATCTAATCTCTCTTGAAATGCAAATTTTTGGATGTGCCAAATTACATCGAGGCAAATGATATTTTCTGATCCCACTATTTGACGTTTTTAATCTTGTTAAGCTCTGAGAAAAGGGAGTGATTATTAGTTATTTTCTATTTAATTATGATTCTAGAGTAGAAAAACAATACTTTTGACCTTTTTTCAACTTTCTAAGTAGAGTAGGAATTAGCAACAAGCCTTAGTAAACCAATGTACTGTATGATGTGATAACTTCTGGCTGGTGATACTTTGTTTTTTTTGTTTTTTTTTTAATTTTTAAACAGAGATTGAATGTTTGAGTTCAACTTTCAAAACTTTCTCTTCTATAAAAAATGCATAAATTTTGTTAATAATAGTTTGTTTGTTATGAAAATATGATCATATGTTAAGAACAAGAAAAATCTAGGGTTTCATCCTAATTATGTTTATTAATCGTAATTGTGTTTTCCTTCGTCCTACAGGTAACTAATGTTAGTACAGCTAAATATGTAATTGCATCTACAATTGGACTTCTTCCTACACAAGCACTGAATTCATACATGGGATCTACATTTCGTTCTTTGGAAGATCTGGTTGAAGAGCAATCTGGAGGATACATTATCCTGTTTGTTCAATTCATCATTAGTATACTTTTAATGACATATGTTATACGCCGAGCAAGAAGGGAATTGAATAGAACTTGCGATGAGACAGAGCCTGAAGTTCTTGCTAATGGTCATATAATAGTGGCTGTACCAGAAGAATTTCAACTGATTCCAGAAGAAAAGAATTTTAAAATAGATTTTGACTTAGAGGCACAGCTGGAAGAGAAAGAGTTCATTGATCACAAAACAGCTAAAAAAGGCCACAAGAGGTCAAAATCTGCATCAGCTGTGTTAACTGCAGTCAATGAAATTGCCAAAGGAGCCCAAACTCCATAGCTATTGTTCATGAACTATCATTTGTATTTTTTATTTCCTTGTGGATGATTATGTTGTTGTTTGAAACTAATTCTAGGTCAAAATGGTTTTAATTAAACTATTTTTATTTGGTTTTTAATTTCAATCGATTTGCCTTTGTTCCAAACACTGGTTTATTATCAGTGTTCATACAAAGTAAAATATAAGGTCATCTTGCTTTAAATCATTTTTACTCAAAAAATCGGCTACACTTAGTTTAGTTTTCTGTTATTAGGCTTACAGTGTATGTTTAGGATGATTTGGGATGATCAGAGATTTCAAACTTTTTGCCATCCTTAATGTTTCTGATATTAGCTTAGAGGCAATAAAGGTGACAACGAGTACTCTTGTAAATCTGTGACTTCTTGTTTCCATAAGTTGGAAACATCCAGATGTGGGGGTACAGCAAATTAAGGTCATTTGTATTTTATGTAATGGTGGAAAGAGGACTTTTTAATGAAGTCTTATATTTAAACCAAGAATTAGAGGAAAAGGTGATAATTGCAAATTGCAGTACAGTGCTCATTAAAAATGCACATACAAGCATTTAAAAAACAAGAGAGAGATTTCCCCTCAGATTAGGCTTTCCCTGGTGTCTTAGACTGCAAACAACTTGGCATATTCATTAGATTGTGCAAAATTGTTAGGTAGATCAATTTAAGAAATATTTTTTTTAAGAGAGGAACATGATAAGTATTTGCTACAAACAGCACCAAAGTCTTCCCATTAAAGCTTTAGACCAAAGTAACAATCCTTTGCACTTGTTACTGTACATTTTAATGGCAAGTTAATTGGCAATTCTGTTTCTGATAAAGTATTCCCAATAAACTGCAAGTGTGTTACAAGTGGGTCAGAGGTGATTAACTTTCCTTGTTTATTTAAGAATTTTGAAATTAATGGTATTGCTAGATTGGTTGGGATTTTATTGGGATGATAATTATTTTAACAATTCAGGTGCCTGAACCCATGCATTTACCAGGCATATTTATTTAATCTAGGGCTTCAAATTATTCTATTCTTCAGTGGGCCTTGTCTGAAGGCAGATTTTATTAGAAAATAAATATATTTAGCCTATTTTCAAATTAATACTTAATCTGGATTCCTTTCATCTTGGAACAGCTATCAATTATGGTTTTCTGGCTTTGTAACAGTTTCAAGTTTCTCTGCAATTTACAGTGTCTGGCTAAAGCAGTGTTCTTCAGAACCACAAGTGGCCAGGATTTTCCTTGGCTACTTCCTTCTGAGGCTGCAGCTAACTGTTGTGACCAGGAAAATAATTCTTCCTGCTAGCTTGGTTTTTTTAATGTATTTGTTTGTCTGGTATTTTTTGAAAAAACAAAAAAAAAGAAAAAATCTCTGGAGAACACTGGTTGGAGATTAAATTTGATCAGAGAGTGTTTTGACATTTTTTGTTATTATGTGAAAATTTATTTAATAATCTAATATCTTCATTTTTAGTACTATTTTGATATTATTTTACTCAGTTCAGAGAATATGACCATATCTTCTCAGTCAGATGATTTCAAGTACAAATTTAGCCAAAATTCCTTCTTCATTGACTGTACAGAAGAGAGTAATAAAAATCACAGTACATGAAAATTGAGTAATGCTTGTACCTACTTGTGTCAATTTAAAGACATGAGAGCTATAGGGCAATGACCATTTGGTTGCAAATTGCAGAAACTGGTCCATGCATCATGTTGCAGAGACAAATCATAGTCAATGACTAAACAAACCAAATCAAACCCAGTGTTGCTGCAAATTGCTATTTAGCTTATCTTGGTCTCCTCCATGATCAATTATGTCTTCCCTTAAGGTTTGTGAGAACCTCATTTGAGGACAGCACTTTGTCCAACTGATAACACTCTGCTTAATTTAAAATCATTGAAATTCACTTCTTCTTAGATTAGGGTACTTATGAGAAGGTATAGAAGAAGGCTATTAAAATCTCACTGAAAGCAAAATGGAGCTCATCATTCTTCATACGAACCATCACCCAGCTTTAATGGATACTATAAAAAATGTATTTCTTTGCTTGAAAAACTTCCAATATTTGAATACTACGACACACTAGTTTCCTTTCTTTCTTCAAATCAATTGACTTTTAAGTAGATGTATGGAACAAAAAAAATGCTTTTTGAGACTTTTCTTGTTCATGCTCTAAATTTAGGAGTTCAACTAAAATCTGTTTATCAATGGTGTACTTTCACTTGAAAGCCTCTTACCACTTTGTCAAGATTTTATTTATAAGATATATGAAACCCCATAGTGCTCAATGCCCCACATTCAACCATTAAAACATTGATTAAAATTCTTGCCTTATACAGACACAAATGTTCTTGTGTGGTGTCACTGCTTATTTCACCACTATTAATCTATATGTCAGATCAAAAATTGTCAGTTTAAAAGAAAACTATGTAGACAATATTTATAAACAAGGCTTAAACTATTTCATTTTATAATAAATAAGAATGTTATCTGCTATCCATTAATCTCAGTAATTAACAAAACAATGCCAACCCAAGATCTCATAGCACTTTCTTGTTCTGCTAATAATTCTTTCAAACTAATAATTATACTTGTAAAAACTTGTATAGATAATACACTAGTACCTAAACTGATAATTGAACAGACCAACACTGACTGAGATTGAAGAACAGGGAACTGAAACTGTCCAACAATCAGGCTAACTAGTGAACAATACTTTTATCGTCAACTTTTTTTTTAGTCTCTGGGTTTCATAAATCCATGTTTCATTTTCTTTGATGGTTGGTTTGAACATGGACTGTCAGGTTCACAAGTCGTGCCAATTGATGATCTTTTCCTTTTTGTTGTGAATTTCTTGGCTACTGTTCCCACAAGGTTTTCATATCTGTTAAAAAAAACAGCAACAACAACAAATACAGATGGTTAATTCAGGTAGCATCCCATTTAGGAGTGAGTGATTGTCACCTCTGATGTTGAAGGTAAACTTATTAGCTACTACTGCTACTTTACGGGCATCTCTCAAATGAAATTATTACAAACAAATAATTATTATCAAACGATCATCAAGATTACAATTAACTGTAAAGTCTTCTATTATCTTTCACTTTTCAAAAATGTAAAGCAAAATTACTTTAGGGCAACCAAAATACTTGTAAAAAAAATTGTGATAAGAGCAGTAATTACCTTTGAGCCATCTCCTCATCAGAGACAGTTTCTTCCCTTTCTCTTGCCTCTGATTGTGCTAAATCTTCTTCAGCTATCATTTCTTTAAACATTTTCTGTTGGCAGAATTTGCAATCTATATTTCATTGTTTGTGACAATTTTTTATTGTTTATCCATGAAGAGATCTGCAGTCTTCTTATTCTTCTTTTATTTTGCAAAGAGGAAAACTTGTGCAAATCAATCAGAAGCCCAAGTCCAATCCTATCAAAATTTATTAAAATCAAGATAGTTAGAGCCTCAATTTAAAAAGCAAACTAAGGTAAATGTCCACAAAATCCAGCTGATGTTATCTGTCTGGTGACCTCTCTCAACTTCATTGAATATTTATATCACTAAATGACCTCAATTGTTTTCTCCAAATTATTGAGTTGACAAAGAGATCTTTGTGAATGACTGTTTCTTGCATAACAACTGAACTTTAATTAGCTTGTAAGTGAGGACATCTTTCTCCCAGGTATTCACCATTATCAACAATTTACAGCTTGCATCTTCTTCAAAGGAAATAGGGACTAATGAGCTAAATACTTCGACATAAGGTTTGAATTTTGTATCTGGAGTACTATTTCCTCATCTTGACAAAAAAATATAGATATGGAAGAGACTCACTTCAACTGTTGGGTTAAAGTTTTTAAAAGACATCCTTCCATTTGGGTAAAGTTCTTCACATTGTACATAACTTGGTTCAAATTCAATGCAACTTCTGAAAAAAATTTCAAATTTTCATGGTAAATTAAAATAGTGTAAAACACTTGGGTTCATCAAAAGTAAGTTGATGAAAACTTCTCTTCTGCTAGAAACTCTTAATTGGCCAATAAGTTACTGATGATGTTAGTTTGCTAAAAAAGTAATACAATATGACTAGAATTGACAATTGAAATATTGTTATTAACAAAATGTCTCAATACTACCCCTTTCCATCAAAATAATTATCATTACAATTTTCCTAAAACAATGCTCATTCCTAAGCAGGTTCTCTAGAGAGCCAGCAATTTATAACTAAATGTGCAGCTCGAGTCAACTATGACATTTTGCTCAGAGGCACCTTTGGGTTCCAAGATCGATTCAGTAATTCTCCTATAAAGCTGCTATACATTTATTTGTAAATTAGATAGGAGAATGAACAAATGATGAAATTTATATCCACCAACCGATAATTTTGACTATTCTCGTCGCCTTATCATTGATTAGTGTACTGAATTTTTTGAGGAGATGGCACATTTTCATCATTCACAGGAGTTCGTGGTTTAATTTGAAGTAGCCACGGGGGTGTCAACCTATCATCTAGTGAGGGAGAAAGCGCGTTGCGACTGAGATCCAGACCAAACAACGGTTGCGGAGGAGACTACCCATTGCCAACTCAGCACAAAACAGCAGCCTTTGACATCCTTACGAAAAATTCAGAAATGGAAAATCTCTTTCCTCTATTCGATATTCAATCCTAACCTATCTTCTTGTTCTTGTCCATTCAGCACCCAATGTGATTCTTCGATGGCACGCTGTCGTTCTTCTTCGAGCTGGCGACGATAGTCTGTTTCTGCTTTCCTTTTCATGAACTAAATATAATGAAACAGAGAGTAGAAATAAATTTAAACATCTCACAGACACCTTGAGGTATGTAAGGGTGCATTACCTTCATTTCCATGAGATTTTTTGATAAAGTTTTTTTCACCGGTTGTTGTGGAACTTCGGCTGCCATGTTGGATTTTAGCTTAGTTACCAATCTCTCCGAGTTGTACTAAGATATCAGGCTCATCTCCAGGACATGCCGCGTTGCTTATAGGTGCGTTAAGGAAAGTCCATTCAGTGCTGAATTAAAATGGCATTAAATGAAATTAAATGAAATAGACTTCGTTGCTTTAAAGGACTTCTTAAACCTGTTTTCCCTGGCTTGATTTTAAAGAGGGTTGGAGCAAACTTGCTTTCACTCAGACCACGCAACAATATGGCCATTTCTTCATTTTAAAATTATTTGATCTCCTCTCCTTTGTTTTAAAACGCCTTCTGTTTCTTTATATTTTCATTATTTAAGCAATAGGCATTTTTCATCCCCGTTAATAGTAGTGAGTGCGCATGTCCCAGCTCTCCTCATTTGGCCATGGGCGATAAAAACATTTCAACGCGCGCGCTATACGCAATTATAAGCGTCACAAACAAAAACAGTCATCAAAGGGTTTGCTTAATTTTGCTGTGTTTTATCCAAAGTCTTGCATGTGTCATGGACCAATCGCGAGCGAAAGGCTGTCTGAGGTCTAACTATGGACTGAAAACTTACACTCCTGAACAAACCAAGGAACAATGGCGAGAGAGCATGAGGGTAACACACGTTCAGGGAAGTTTCTTTGGATATGACTAACATTTTCTGATTACGAAACTGTTTCATTTCGTTTTCAATTCAGGGAGAAAAACGCCTTTCAGACTCGCATCTTCTAACGTCGAAATGCAGTGAGGCACTTTCCAAGGCCTGGAAAACAAATTTTTCAAGACATATATGTTCAGATGTTCCATTAAACTACTTCAACACAAACAAAAAGGTTAGTACCTGAGATCCTTCCACGCTGTGACTCTACAGATCAGTCCTGTTGAGATGGAAATGTTCTAATTTATTAGCCTTCTTATACCCTATTCACACCAGCAAAACATGGTTTGTTAAACTGGTTTTTACTGAATGAAAATCATAAACAGAGAACTGAAAAACATAATTTTCCATAGGATTCAAGTACCTGCTAACTTGCATGTATAATGTGCCACATTTAAGTAAAAAATATTAGGTTCAGTAGTTTCTACGAAGAAAAAAAATTAAACATGGTTAAGCTTTGGTGTGAATGGGGTATTAGTCTTGTTAGTCTTTCGGACGCCTTTAACACACTTGATAGACAATGAATGAGACGTTTTGAAGAAGTTCCCTTAGAAAACGATGGTGTTACACTTCACTAGCCTTGATTTGGGTATTATTCATCAGTCAACCATCAGAAGCAGTTTATTTTTTGAGTGTAAAATAACATTATATCATTATTTAATGAGTCACATGGGTAAGAACAAATGATTAAGTGTTCCTGGTTCAAACCTCTTCAGCCTCGCTTTAGCAAATCCTTCAAACAAAAGGTATGAAGTTAAGTACAGAAAGCAACTGACAAAACAACTCTTCACTTGATTCTGATAATGACTTCCGCTAAGGTTGTCGAAGCGCTGGTAACTGTCACCAATAACGGTCATTTTTGGGACTCTCTATGACCTGCACGATAAGGCTACACGATTAGACTGAGGATACCTTACTGCAAGTTGCCCTTGACTGAGACAGGTTGTCGGTAGATATTAGTCAGTCATTCGCTCTAACGAAGGACTTATATTCGAAACGTCATCTTTAGAAACCTTAACGATGGCAATTTACATATTAATAGATTTACTAAGATGATAAAACCAAAGTGATTTGTGTTTAGTTATGTTGCGTTAAGTTTCCCTCCCATACCCGTCTCAAATGCCCTTTCTTCCTTAGCATGACAGGATATCAACTTACGACAGAACATTTCATATAAAGACAGGTTATTGCAGTAAGCTTCACCGGGACGACAGAGAACATACTCGAGGACTCAATGTTAATTCTGAGGTAAAGAGATTTTTGACCAAAGTTTTAAAAAATTTTCTCAGAATACAAAATTCACCAATCTCTATGACATAATTTCCCCAAAACGTTCGTCGTATCCGTCTGGTTAGCTCAGGTTGGAGAGAGATTAGGATCGGGGGCTAAAGCCTCAGACTTCACCAACACTCAGGATCTCAGCTACAGCCAACGGTGGAACTGAAAAGTGCTGCCTTTGCTATGACGTCTGCATATAGTTAGACGTTCTCGTCTTTTCGTCAATGACGATAAAACCGTTGGCTCCGTCGTCTGCAACTTTTCCGTACTGGTCATTAGCAGGGGACATTCAAGAAGCCACACGGTTAGAATCTCAAACAATAGGGAACGTAGCTCCCGGTGTTGTGGTCTGACCTTGTTTCCGAAATTTGGGACATCTGCAAATTTTTCTCAAAAATTGTAAACAGCACAATGCGAGGTGATCAAAGTACCTAGCAAAATGTTACAAAGCGCTAAGAGCTATAAAATTATTTCATCATGTTTCACATTTTCCGATCTTTCATTGTACGACATTATTCTCCTCGGAATTTTCCCAGCTCAACCGAAGCATAACTTGCGTCCCACATTGCAGAGCATGCTAGAAAGCAATTTAGTGTCAGCTTAACTAGTTTTCTAACTGGATCTTTCCCCAGGAACAAACAAAGTCCGTTCCAGTCCTCAGTTCTTCTCTGTATGGACACCGCCCTCCTCTCGAGATTCCTTCTCGGAGACACGTCCGAGTGGCAACTGTTAAACGAGATTTCTTTCGTGATAGTGGAACAAACATTCCTCTTCTTTAACAAGTTTATCCCCGGCCAACGGCCACAGATAGAGAAAATGAATAAAATGTTTTAAAAGGTTTCACCACGTCTAAGCGCCTTTGGATAGTAAACCGCTTTAAAACTATCGTTAAAAAATTTAGCAATTGCTTAAGTATCTCTTTGTTATCAAGTATCATGTCCTGCCCACCGAAGAGGCAGCAGCTCTAAGTTTGAATCCATTTACGAATCACCTATGGGGTTTGTGCATGGAAGTAGGTAACAGAGAAATTTTCAAACAAGTATCTCAGTAAAGAAATTCAGGCTCTGGTAGTTTCGATTCATTTCTCTCAACGATGGGTCAACTGAGAAAAATCGCACCAAACTTTTAAACAATCAGATACAAAACGAAAAAACAGTTTTCACTCGATCACTCAGACACATCCTTTTGCTTTGCGGAGCCGAGTCTTGAGACACATTTGAAGGTTTCACTTGGAGTTCACGGCTTCTGATGATTTTTTGGCTATCATGCCTGACATGGTTTAAAAATGCGAAGCGGAAAAATACACTTAATCAGTACCTTTCTGAAGAGCTATATCTTTACAATGTCATTCGGGTGAGCTCTCAAACAGGAATTAATTAACTAACGGAAATAACAAACGCCTGATAACATCAGCTCAGTTCTAAAGAAGTTTAAAGCAGTATAATATCCTTTGATACCTTTAATCAAAACACTCTGCCTTTGCTTAGCGACACATATGTTTTATTGCAAGCAATATCCAATAGTTACACTAAAAACTGATCGATCACAGGATTTGTGTTCTGTCACGTGTAGGGTGGAGCAACTATAGCGTTTGTACTTTTCTGTGAGTCGAGGTTAGTGTCAAGCATCTATTGGCAGAACTCTGTACGGCCAGTTTTCATTCTCTCGAAGAAGGAAAGATTTTATATTATTCATATCTTCAGGCAGATGTATTCGAATTTAAGATTGGACCCCGCGCGCGCCGATGAGCTCGTATGATCTGCGATTCTCATAAATTATTCGATATATGTTGTTGCACCGGTACTTGGAGAACGGATTCCTCGATATCATCTTTTGTCACTAGGCAACAGCACCATGAGTGCTCTCAGTAGAAATTGGCCTTGGATCCTCGACAGTTATCGATTGTCCATTTATCCTTTTATAATGATGCACATTAATTGCTAAGTATGCCACACTGATAATGTGTTCAGATATGATTGTCACGTACAAATTTTCAGGTGTAGAATTTACTGAAAGGAAACAAGTTCGCACGGATGGAACAAGACAATGAACTGTTCATATATAGTTTTTCGAGATCGAGCGCTTCAGTTTAGGTTACTGATCGTCAGTAAATGTTCCCACGAAGCTTTGCAAAATCTTGGTGCACGTTTTGGCGAATGATCAGCCCAAGACAAATCTTTGATGAGTTTTACTTTCTCTTAGCAACATCAAATATCGCTTCAATAACAAAGACAAGATACTATATATTAACCTTTTCACTCCCACAAGTGACCAAGACAGAGTTTCTCCTTACAATATCGGTACGATATCAAGCAGGCAGGTGATGAGAATAGAGAAGAATATCAATCATGGGATTATTAGTTGATCCAATACCAAGATCTCTGAACTAACAACATAAGAATTGTATGGCAGATAGTAAGGAGAATTACTAATTGGATCTTGGGAGTGAAAGGGTTAAGAACATTCATGCGTAATATTACCTCTCTCTGCAGTCTAAATAAGGAGTTCAAATTCCTTAATCAAAATTATCTGATATTCGTTAGTACAAAAATACTGAAGTATTCTAAAGTGGTTCTTGAATTGGAACCAAACCACGCCAACAGAGATTGTCATAACATGCGATCTTACATATCCTTAAATGAATACCCTTTCTAAATGAAACCAGATATAACGAAGAAAGAAAACTTTGACGATGACAGAAGTTTAACGAAAAAATGAGTTTTTTTGTGTAACTCAAAGGTTGCAAAATGGAAGAAAAGTATTATGGCATAGGTATGTACTATTGACAAGAGATAATCTATTTTACAAATAGATGTGACTTTGAAAATTATTCATATTGGGCATTTTGTCTGACTTATTCCTTGTAGAGAAAAAAATTACAAACGAGATCGGACTCTCCACTTGCAATAAACAGCACAAATGAGTGATCAGACTCGAACAGAAGTATTGAAGCACTTGTTTAATTCGACCAGGGCTTATCTGTAGGAAAATAATTTAAGAAGTTCAAGATACAGCGAACTGATATCTGATTAGTGAGAGGTCAGTTAAGGTATGGTATAGTGCCACGC